GACCAATCAAATATCTCCCAAAACTGCAGGCACCTCACGGGCCAGAACCTGAAGGGGCGTGGAGCTCAAACCAATGAGAGCTTCCAGACCTGGTCTTTCAAATGCCCTGTGTGAGGGGGGGCGTGGGAAATAGAATCTCTCTGTTGCCCCATGAACTCGGGAGGAGCAGTCTTTGTCTCCTGTGCCCTCGCTGCCCCACCAGACCAAAGAGATGTTCACCAGGGCCCTCCCTGTTTGTGGCCGTCCAGTGCCGAGCTGAGCAGGCAGCCAGTTGTGTTTGCACGTGAGCTGCCACAGGAAGACACACAGCAGCTGGAGATTTGAATAGCAGGGCTTGGCCAATTCTTTTTCTTTCAGAGTGCAAGAAAGATGCAAAAGCACAAGGAAACATGACAGAGTTTCGGTAGATTCTCTTTGTCCTGTGAAGTTGAGTAGCTGTTGGTGTTTCTGTGCTGCTGCTAATCCCTTCCATGAAAAAATCATTCCGGGAAGGAGCAACAACATCTGACACGCACCAAGTGTTGCCACCAGCTGCTCCAGGTGCTGCTACCAACAGCCCCTGTAGGACGCAGCACAGCCCCCAATGCACACCAAAAGCCAGGGAATCTCAGGAAAACGGGAAACTGGACAAGACAAACACAGATCTGAACCAATGTGGTTAATCAAACGTTCTCCGTTTATTGGAGATAAGATGGTAGTTTATATAAGCTTCTACATAGTTTACAGAAACAAAGGCACTCTGATTGCTAGGCTAACATTGTTTACCTTTTCCTTAAAGTGGCTTGAGCCTTACACTATAAACGTATACTAATTCACACCCAGACAGCCCAGTGGTCCCCGTCACACCTTAATACTATTTCTATCTGCGCCACAAGCTCTGAATTTCTAACTGCGTCAGAGGCTTGAAGGCCTCACAAGGCCCAAATCTGAGGCCTAGACTGGAGTAGCTCAAATCTCATAACTCATGTCCTCTTTCTCTGAAAAATGCTGCAACACACACCAGCTTTGGCTGCCCTCTGGCAGAGAAGCCCTTTTGGGGCACAGGTTTCTGGGGCAGCAGACGGGCACCGGTGCTGCCAGGGCTCGGGGGAACTCTGCTTCGGCGGGGACTGTGCCTCAGCGGCTGATGTCAGCGCTCCCCGGGCCCCAGGGTCAGAGCAGCATTCCTGCCCTGGCCCACACGTTCCTGGTCTGTGTCACACGGCCGTGCTTAGGATGGCCACCATGTGGGACGTGTCCCGAGGAGGCCGTGCCAGCTTCTGTGCAGGGCCCCGTGCCCTTCCCGCCGCGGCTGCGTCGGCAGCCCTGGGGGCTCCTGCTGCTCTGAGCCCGCAGAGCAGGGCAGCGTTTGCTGATGGTCTGAGCCGTTCCTAAAGATCCTGTTGGGCTGTCTGACACACCTGGGGCAAGGCATTCCTTCCAACCTGGGCCACTCTGGGGGGCTGGGGGTGGCCCCAGGGCAGGTGGCAGTGCGTGCAAGGGCCCTTTGTGACACGGTGCAGCATGGTCACCGTGGAATGGAACGGGACAGGGTATCCAAGGGCCCTTTGTGACACGGTGCAGCATGGCCACCGTGGAATGGAACGGGACAGGGTATCCAAGGGCCCTTTGTGACATGGTGCAGCATGGTCACCGTGGAATGGAACGGGACAGGGTATCCAAGGGCCCTTTGTGACACGGTGCAGCATGGTCACTGTGGAATGGAACGGGACAGGGTATCCAAGGGCCCTTTGTGACATGCTGTGGCATAGGTGTTGGCAGTGACAAGGCCACTCCACAGTGCTCTGTGCATGCGACGAGACAGGACGGAGAGAGCGGTGCTGTGAGGAGCATTGGCACAGCCATTCGTTCCTTGCTGACCCGGAGCTTTCCCGAGGTATTACTCCTGCAGTTGAGCTTGTGGCCAGACCAGAGCACTTGCTGACCCCTGGCCTTCCCAAGGCATCTCTTCTGCAGCTGCCCTGGAGGGCAGACCATGGCATTTGCTTTGCATTGTTCTTGACAGGAGTCTCCTGTCCTTGTGGCTGGAGCCCCCAAGACCAGAGTGCAGGACTCGCTGTCCTGTAGCCTTGCCAAGACTTCACTCTTGCAGGTGCCCTCAAGGCACGACTGCAGCACTTGCTGACTCGGACCTTTTCCTTTTCACCTTCTGCAAGTAGCCATGAATCCAGGCAGTGACGCAGAGCACAGACCTGCGAGCGTGCCCAAGCTGGCTAGGGGGAAGGAGGAGAAAGAAGGCCCTGGAGCTGCCCCAGCACAGCAGCCTGAAGAGGTGGAGCAGTTCCAGCCACTGCAGAAGGGTGAGTGGCAGAGCTGGGCCACAGGGCTGGTGCCTGCAGCCAGCTTGGCCCCATGCCATGCCATGCCATGCCATGCCATGCCATGCCATGCCATGCCATGCCATGCCATGCCATGCCATGCCATGCCATGCCATGCCATGCCATGCCATCCCATGCCATCCCATGCCATCCCATCCCATCCCATCCCATCCCATCCCATCCCATCCCATCCCATCCCATCCCATCCCATCCCATCCCATCCCATCCCATCCCATCCCATCCCATCCCCTGGGGCCATGCCCATGGACAGGATGGAATAGGGGCCGGGCAGACACCCCACAGCCGTGCTCCATGCCCTGGGGCGGCGCGGGGCTGTCCCTGCCTGGGCAGCGCAGGGCTGGGCTGTGTTGTCCGGCCTCTCCCGCAGCCCCTCAGCTCGGGCTGCGCTCGCTCTTTGCCAGGTGCAGCCGTGCAGCGCACACGAGAGCAGGAACGCACCCGTGGCCGCTTCCGCAGAACAGCGCAGGTACCTGCAGCCATCCCCACCTGGGCTGGGCCTGCTGGCACTGCTCAGCCCAGCACTGTGCTCCGAGCACTCCATGCAACATCCCGGGCTTCTTGCCCTTCTGCTACAGATGGTTTGCAAATTCATGAAGAGGATTCGGGAGGAAGAGAGCAGCGTCGTGGGCACTGTGGTCAGAGCGTACTCTCCCATCTTCAAAACCAAGACCAGTGCTGCCCTGCTGGATATGCTTGTGGAGGAGGGTCCTTCCAGCCCAAAGCAAGTGAGCAGCCTGTGGCCTGGCTTTTCTCCTCCCAGCAGTTGCGTGGCCTCCCAAGCCACGCCTGCTGCTCCCTGGAAGCCTTTGAGGCCATGGCAGTGTGGTGGCAAGGGAAGCACTTCTCTGGGGCAGCTGGGCACATTCCTTCCTCTGGCAGCTTTCCAAGTCTCCCCTGCCTTCTCCAGGTGCCGGCCATGGTGAGGTACATCCACCAGTGGCTGGTGGCCAATGAGTTTCCTGAGTACAATCTGTACAGGCCCCTTCTGGATCTGACAGAGGCACAGCCCTGTGACGTGGTGATGGCTCTCCTGCGTGTGGCCCCAGTGTGTGACAGGTACGGGGCCCACGTGTCCACAAGGCTCAGCAGCCCTTCACCCTGTACAGCCTGTCCCAGGTGTCTGACCAACAGAGAAGTCCAGGGCCCTCTGGCTGCTCCCTTTGCCAGCCCTGGTCCCTGCCAGCCCCGCAGCGTGCTGCCATGCTTCCCCCCTGCCCCTCAGGGGCCAGTCCCCACAGGGCTGGGCTGCCTGCGTGCTGCCAGTGAGGGGCAGTGGGCAGAGGCAGGGCTGGAAGAGCAGCTCAGCTCCCCGCTGCCACCCAGGCCACGCTGCTGTGTCCCAGACTCCTCTGAGACAGAGCTCTGACCCCACAGAGCTGCTTTGGCCATGTGGAAGAGCATCATGTGCTCGCCCAGGACTGCAGAGCCGGCCATGCTCGCACTCCTCGAGGTGCTGGGGAGCTGGCCAGAGCACAGCACGTGCACCTCCGATGGGGACCACACGGCTGTCCTTGCCCTGGCTGTGAGTTTCTGCCTTTGCTGGCCCCAAGGCCACCCCTCCAGCAGCTCTCCATCCTCCCTCCCCCACGGCGTCTCCCTGCCTCAGGCGCTGGGCTGAAACCTGGCCTTGGGGCAGCTTCAGGGTCACCAGGCCCGGTGCTCCCCCTTCGGTGCTCCCCCTTCGTCTCTCCGGGCCTCTCCCTCCCGTACTGGGCCCTGCCACACGGACACCTCGCCACTGAGCGCTGTCTCGGGCTGCTCTGTCCTTTGCAGGCAACCGTGGTGATGTGGAAGATCCTCCAGCTGCCCTGTGTGCCACATGTAGTCACCGTGTGTTTCCCCTGCCTCTTTGTGCATCTGCTCTTCCAAGTGCTCTTCAGCACTCTGGATATGCCAGAGGAGGTCGATACCTTCTGGGAGGGATGCCAGCAGCAACACGGCCTCGCCACCAACCCCAGCAGGTGCTCCATGCCAGTCCTCCTGTCCTTGCCACATCCCTGGGCAGGGGCCAGTGCCCCCAGCGTGACCTGGGCTTTGCTCTGCGCACAGCTTTGCAGAGCAGACCCTGAAGGCCCTGCTCTGCCGACTGCACTATGAGGATGTGGTGGTGGCCATGGAAGACAAGGGTGGCTGGGACACACTGCTCTGTGCTGACACCCACCACTGTGCTGTGGGCGTGCTGGCCAGGTGAGACCCCCTGCTCCCCAGCTGTCCCCGGCATGTGTGCCCTGTGCCCCAGGTGCCCCACACAGTCCCCGTGGCTGTGGGCCAGAAGCCCTTGTCACCAAGGGACGGCCAAGGAGGCTGCAAAAGGCTGGGAGAGGAGCGTGCCCAAGAGCAGCAACCTCCCAGAGGGCTCAGCTGCCCCTTGCAGGGTGCTGGAGAAAGGCCAGACCTCTGGGAGGCAGTCCTGGGAGAGGTTTGCCCCCGCTGGCTCAGGGTTTGGCTCCTATTTCCGCCTGTCAGAGAAATGCACCGCGCATCCGAAGCCGTGTGTTCCGCGATTGCATTCCAGCTGCTCGGGCTGCTCAGCAAAGACACGCCATGCCGGGATTTGGCCGCCCTGGCGTTCCTTGTGGATGTGAGCCTGAAGGCCAGCGCTGCCTCGCTCAGCTGCCTCCCGGCTCTCTACCCTCTCTAGGCCGCAGTGCCTGGGACGGAGCCCGCGCCCTGTGCTGCTGCCTGGGCCCGGCCCTGTGCGGGTCTGGGCTCCCGCCGGCCGCTCCCCCGTCACTGCCCTGTGCCTTTCAGGTCCTGGAGCGCCTGAACCTGAGTGAATGCCGTGACAGCGTCCTGGAGTTCTTGTCAAAGAACCTGCAGAGCGAGTGCAGGGGGAGGCGTCGCTTGGCACTCAGAGGCCTCGTGGTGCTCGGCACCACCAGTGCCTCGGTGAGAAGAGCGCAGGGGCTGAAGCCGTGCTGCCAGCGTGGGGCTGGGGAAGGCAGTCCCTGGGGCTCGGCTGGCCTTGGGGCACTGAGGCAGCTGCTGCCAGCTCTCCTGCCTCCTGCTGCAGCTGCCCGAGTGCTTTGGCACAGGCCTTTGGCCCCTGGGCCCTGTGGCAGCAGGATGGTGTTTCACACACTTGTGTTCCACAAGTAGATGGCCAGAAGGATGTGGAGCCTGCATGAAAGGCTCGTGGAGCTCCTGCAGGAAAATGACGGCGTCATGCTCAGGATGACCACGGTTCTCCTCAGAGCTGTATTTCTCTGCAAAGAGGCCCCAATGACCAGCACCCTCGCCCTGCAGCTGGCTGAGGCGCTCCTGCCACTCTTTGACAACGTAAGGCTCTGCGCCTCCAGCCACGGCCAGCGGGTGCTACCCGCACACTTTGTGCCCTGTGCACTTACAGGCTGTGCCCAGCTGGGCCTGAAGCAGCTGACGCTGAGGTCTTTCTTCCTTCCTTTCATACAGGAGGATAGCCAGGTGCAGTTGAGCTCCATGTTTATCTTCCGAGACATGCTGGATCGTTTTCCGGAAGAGGAAAAAAAGGCCCTGAAGGCACACGTGCGCCAGAGCCTGCTGCCACTCTCCTTCCACTGCCAGGATGAGAACCAGCGAGTGGCAGAGGTGAGGACTCGGCAGCTGCTGCTGTTCCCCGGGCAGGGGCTGGGCTGCCCCTGCCCTGGCACCTCGCAGGCTGCAGCCTCCTGCTGGCCTTGGCACAGGGACGGGTCCTGTGCCCTGGGCTGTGGGGCCATCTCCGCGTCTCTGCTGCTCTCCAGGCTTCTCAGGAAACGCTGCTTTGTGCGGCCGAGTTCCTGAAGCAGAGGGATCTCGAAAAGCTGCTGAAGAACCAGAAGCCATGGAAGTTCACCGAGTGCCTGGTAAGGAGGGCCGGGAAGCCGCAGCCCCAGCCTGGAGAAGCCCCCTGAGCACGGTGCTCGGTGTGCGGGCTGGCAGCTGTGCCCCTGCCCGCTGCTGCAGCCCGAGGCCGCGCGGGCTCTGCTCCAGGCTCCTGCGGCCCGAGCCGGGTGCCCATGGAGCCCCGGCCCGGCGGGGCTGCGGGGCCAACCCTTCCCTCCTGCCGCTCTCTGCAGCTGGCAGAGGACAGCAGCAGCGTGGCCGAGCACCTGCGCCGGGCCCTGCCCTACCTGCAGAGCCCACAGGAGCCCCTGCGAGAGGCGGCCGTCAGGTTCATGGGTGAGCCACGAGCCGGGCCAGGAGGCCGTGTGGGCACAGGGCTGGCAGCGCCGCTGGCAGGGAGCTGTGCCGCCGGGCCTGACAGGCTCTGTGTTCCCAGGGACGGCCGGGCGGTACCTGAGGGGGAGGAAGGAAGAGCTCCAGCTCATCTCTGAGGGTGAGTGAGGGCAGCGGGCTGCCAGCGGGGGCTGGCGGGGAGCTGCGAGCCCTGCCCCGGCTGCGGAGGGCTCTGCTCCCTGTGCGGACCAGGGGCGGCGTGGGCAGAGCACACAGAGGTTTCAGGGCACCTGGGGGATTCCTGGCCAGCAGCTTCGGGCTGATCCAGCTGGTCCCTGCTCCCTGCTGGCCATGGCCAGAGCCGGCTGGGATGGCCCTGGCACAGAGTCCCCTCAGGTCCCCTCAGATGCGGGAACTGACCATGGCTCTGTTCCTCTCTCTTTCAGCCCTTGAAGGCATGGCCAATGACATCAGTGTCCCCGTCGGAAGCCTGGCAGTTCAAACATTGTACATCCTCCAGGAAGCAGAGAGAGCTCCATACTCCATCTTTGACAACCTGCATGATCGGCTCCGCAGGGCATGGAGGAGACGGCCTCGTCTGTCCGGGCTCGGCTGGCTGCGCTGCTGGAGCTCTGCAGAGAGCTGATCCCAGAGGCTCTGTCTGCTGGGGCCGCCCGAGCCAGCAGGAATGTTTCGTTTCTTTAAGATTGTTCTTTTCTTTCTCTTTGTTTTACTTTAGCATATAAATATAGGATGTGTTGTAATAGACAGACTCCCAGGATCTTTCTTTTGCTGCCCAGGCTCTGCAGGGCCTAGGGGAAGAGGGACAAAAGGGATCCTGGGCTCAGCAAGCTGCCCAGGCATGCAGGGTTGCAGGGAAAATGGCCAGAAGCCCCTTGGCCTTTGGTGGTTCTGCTGAAGCCTTTGTGCTGCCCACAGAGCAGATGGGCAGGGGCTGGAGCTGTGGGGATCTCTGTGAGAGCGGTGCCTGGAGATGGCCACAAGCCCTGTCCCAGGCAGGAAGCGCCATCTGTGTCCTCCTGCCCGTGTGTTGCTGCCTGGATTGCTGAGGGCTCCCAGGTGCCTCTGGATGGGCTCCTCTGGAGCTCCTGTGGGGCTGCGGCGCTGCTGCCGGGCAGGTTGGCCGGGCTGGGGAGAGCCTGAGGGGACGGGGCCACGAAGGGATGAGGGGCTGCGGAAGCCCTGACAGGACAAGGCAGTGGGAAGGCACGGGGGGGACGTGTGAGGGAGTGGGTAACGTTGGCACGGGGAGGAAAGTGGGTTGGAGCCAAGGAGACAACTCACCCCGATGTTCCTGTGGCAAACAGAGCACGTTTATTCTCAAGCCCTTCCTTCTAAAGGGCCTTTGAAAAACCCAGTCTGGATGATTTCACTGGTCTGATCTCTGTGCCCCTTCAGATTCTGGCCTGGGGAATGCCTGCAGCCTTGGGAGAGCTGTGATGGGCCAGGCCCCTGTCAGTCAAACCAGGGCTGGTACATTCACCCCGTACAAGCCAGCCTGCACGGTGACACGGCACCAGAGTGCGAGGCACAGCTGCGGGTGCTCCCCGTGAACCTCAGCTCTGGGACCACTGCCTGCCCCAAGCTTCAGGGGCTGCAGGGGGAGCCCGGCTGGGCTCTGCCCTGGGGCCATCCTGCAGGGACAGCTGCACACAGCCTGCAGCTTTGGGAATGGCATTAGTGCCTAGGCTGGGGGGGAAGCTGCAAGTCCTTGACTGCTGTCTTGTGTTGCTGAGAAGAGGAAGGACATCTTGGAACTGGGGATGCTCTATTTGAAGTCAAGCGGGCAATTTTGTGGTGGGGGAGCTGCGTGGGCCAAAAGGACCCAGGGGTGCCGGTCAAGAGCAGCTGAAGGTGGGCCAGTATTGGCCAGGTGGCCAAGAAGGCCAAGGATGCCCTGGCCTGTGTCAGCAGCAGTGGGGCAGCGGGAGCAGGGCAGTGACCGTCCCCCTGGGCTGGGCAGCGCTGCGGCCATGTCTGGGAGTGCTGTGTCCACTTGTGGGCCCCTCTGAAGCAGAAAGTCCTCGAGGGGCTGGAGCGTGTGCAGAGAAGGACACGGGAGCTGGGGAAGGCTGTGGAGCACAAGGCCATGGAGGAGGTGCTGAGGGAGCTTTAGCCTGGACAACGGGAGGAAAATGGTGAACATGGAAAATCCCATGATGAAATACACTGAACTGGAAGATATTGGCAAGGGGTGAGTCCAGCCACAGTTACTTCTACACAACCATGGGCCAGGTGTTTTGCTGGTATATCAGGTGTTTCACTGGAAGATCTATCCAGTGTGAAGTCAGGTCAGCTGCAAACATGTTCAGATACTGGGGATAGATTGTCCCATCGCTTCAGTGCTGCTCAGAATTTGTGTGTGTGCTCAGAAAGCATTGTCAGAGACATCTCCATGCTGCCGAGGTCTTGCCTGCATCAAGGAACAGGACCTGGAAGATCTCTTTGTCTCTCAAGTGTGGGACAGCTCTGTGTTAACTTCTTTAGCATTTTTGTATGTCTCAAAATCACACTGCCACACTAATGAAAAAAGAAGAACCTTGCTTACCTGAAAGAGCAACCTACCCCCTATCAAAGCTGCGAAATAACAGTTCTCAGGAACATTTCTTTCCCATGGTTTGTGGAAGGAAATATTGCACGGTCAGGATAGGAACCACGCAGTTTAGAAACTGAAACCCAAGATGAAAGAATAAATTCCCTTTAGGAGCTGAGGCAGTAAACCCCAACGCTTCAGCAACCGGCCCAGGCACTGCCCATGCATTTGAGAGGAAAAAGGATCATCTGCCTTCTGACAGAGACCTCCTGCATCCTGCAGGTTTTAGGCATTTACAGCAGAGATCTCCGGTGTGGGCTGGCTTTCACTCTAAGAAATAAACAGCTTCTCCTTTCTCTGCTTCTGTTTTGTTTCTAGGACTTTTGGACATGTGGTTAGAGCACTCAACAAAGCCACAGGAGGAGAGGTAAATGTCAACAGCCCCCGCAGACTCTGCTGCACCCGAGGGGCTTTCTCCTCTGGTGTGGGCAGCTGTGGCCAGAGCTTTGGGTAGAGCTGTGCTGAAAAGGCAAAAGAAGCACAGACTGGTGCCAGCCTGCAAAATACATTTGGGACAGTCTTTGTCCTTCTCAGCTGCCAAAAAGAAGGCCCAGAGGGCAGCAGTTCATTTCGGAGAAGGATGTGCTCACTCTGATTTTTTTTGTTATTATTAATTTTATTTTTTAATCACTATTTTATTAGTAATAAACTTTTAAAATTTAAAAAACAACTGATTGTTTTTTTCCTCAGTGCCCAAAAACTTCTGGATGTCCGAAATTCTTTATTTTTTATCATCTCGTGGTACCTGACCCTTGCTGTCCACATTTTTATTACTCTGATTTTATTTTAAAATTTTATTTTACTATATTTTAATATTTTTCTTCTTCTTTTATTTTTATTTTTTATATTTTTTATATTTTTCAATTACTACTTTATTACTAATAAACTTTTAAAATTTCAGAAACAACTGATCGGTGTTTTCACAGTGCCGAAAAACTCCTGGATGTCCAAAATTCTTCATTTTTTATCATCCACATTTTTATTACTCCTATTTTATTGCTATTTTTATAACTATTCTATTACTAATTAACTTGTTTGAATCAGTAATTTGTAAAAGATTTTAAAGAACCAGAACTGGCATTTTTCACGGTGCCCAAAAACATCCAGGCATCCAAAATTATTTTCTTTTTATCGCCTAGTGGTGTCCTAAATGTCATTGTCCAGATTTTTATTACTCTGATTTTATTTTTTATTATTTTTATTATTTTAAGTTTTATTTTTCTATTTTTATAACTATTTTATTACTAATAAACTTTTAAAATTTCAAGAACAACTGATTGGTGTTTTCACAGTGCCCAAAACTCCCGGATGTCCAAAATTCTTCATTTTTTATCAACTCGTGGTGTCCTGACCCTCATTGTCCATGTTTTTATTGCTCCGATTTTATTGCTATTATAATTATTATTTCATTACTAATTAACTTGTGTAATTAATAATTTATTACTAATTAACTTGTGTAATTAGTGATTAGTTTGTGATTTTACAGACCCGCGATTGGCGCGTTCAGAGCTCGTGGCGAGCGGGAAACGTTACAGGGAACGAGCTTTGGATCGATTCCTGTGTGATACTGATCAATAATCAATAATCAATTACTAATGCTGGACCGATTCCTGTGTGATATTGATCAATAATCAATAATCAGTAACTAATACTGGAATGAATAATTTGTGATATTGATTAATTAATGATAAATAATTGACATAGGATTGATATCTCTCTAGTATTGATTAATTAATAATAAATAATAATAAAGGGTGGATAAAAGTTTCTGTAATATCGAGTAATTAATAATAATATTTGATAACATAGATTGATTCCTTTGTGATATTGATTAATAATCAATAATTAACACATATTATTGGATTATTTTATTTGTAACCTTGATTAACAATATTGGATTGGTTACTTCGTAGTATTCATAATAAATAATTAATAATATAGGATTGATTTCTTTGTAATATTGATTAATAATCAATAACTAATAATATAGGATTAGTTTATCTCTAATATGTATTATTAATAAAAATTCATAATTAATATTGGATTGATGTATGTAGTATTGATTAATTAACCCTTAATAATTAATAATAGATCATTTTATGTTTAGTGTAGATAAATTAATAATCAGTTGATATTGCATCTATTTCTTTGTAATGCTGGTAATAATAAAGAATTAATAATTACTATTGGATTTATTTATCTGTAATATTGATTAATTAATTATCAATAAATAATTTATACTGGACAAATTTCTTTGTAATGGTTATTAATTAGTAATCATCAATCAGTAATGAATATTGGATTGATGTCTTTGTAATATTGTGAAAAATGCAGATTAAATGGTGCTCTGCTATTGTTGATAACTCCCTGCTATTGATTATTGATAATCTGCTATTGATGATTGATAACTCCCTGCTATTGATTATTGACAATTCACTGCTATTGATTGTAAGAAACTACAGATTGAGATATTGTTTATTAAGATATATGTAAAGGTTAGACAACTGTGAGAAAAATACAGACTGAGGTATTGTCTATTGAGATAAGGTTAGGCCACGGAGGTACAGCTGATGCAAGATAAGATAACAACCACTTACACCGGAGACTGCCTATGCAAGATAAGATAACAACAACCATTCACACCAGAGACTGCTTATACAAACACAAGATAACGGCAGGAATTAGCTTGCAAATTCCAGGGAGACAAAAGAAGAAATTGGAATAAAAGGAGACAGTTTGAGCGAATCAAGGTAGCAGTCAGTGGAGCTTCGGTTTTTGAAGTTCTGTCTACTGCCCAGCGCTGTTACCCTTGTTCATATCCTACTTGCTGTAAATTAATAAAATTCTTAATTGGATTATGTTCCGTTGTGGCGCAAATTTATAACAATTTCTGGTGCCGTGACTCGGATAAGGAAGGGTGGGCTTTTGATCCTCTGGGGAAAGGCACCCCGCGACATTTCGTGGCCCCGTGATCAACAGCTTACCCCAACCTTACCGACCAACCTAAAATCTAGGATAATGAACAAAGGAAAAAACCAGTAAAATCCTATAAAAAATTTGAAAACGGAATAGGAAAGTCAGGGGCTCTATATTTTAGGGGACCGGAGCCACCATGAGCCCTTGATAAAATTAAAAATAGGTCCCCATAAACA